GTTCAAAACACTTCAGCATGCCTATTTATAATTGATTTTATTTGGCAAATAAAACAGAATTGTAGGACCAATCAAGAATACATGTGTGTGCATGTGCATATAATGTAATATGTAATATTATAAGACTTCCTGAAATGGAGTCAAAATACTTTAGGCTGAGAAGGTCCAAAGTTGCTGTTACACAACTTTTACGTGCTTTGATTTGCGCAAGCATTTGTTTTACTTTTTTTTTTGGAAGCATTCAGTACATTTATTAAGAAATGCGAGTTTTTAAAGCTATGCCTCCAAAGTTTCGCAACAGGAATTCGTGTGCATAAGATCTCGCTTTGCGTCGTAGATACGTTCCAAAATATCCCGACTCAAAATGAAACAACGCAAAGTGTATTGCTATTTTCCTTTGGATATCATAAAAAAATCCAAAATTTGTTGAACAGCTTGTTTTTTTATGTTGAGGTAAAGTTCTTTGCAACAATTAAATTTATGCTACCGCACGAGAAACTTTTGCACTTCTTTCGCTATCATGATCGTTTTTTGAAAAAAAACTCTATTGCTTCGTCAATTCGATTCATTATTTTTGAAATTTGCTGTCTAGTTAAATTTTGACGCTCACTTAAATCTAGTGAGCTGTCTTCTTAGTTAGAGATTTCCAAATCTAATTGCATCTATCAAACCTAATTCATTTATAAAAACTTCATCCATCCCTAAATCCTTCGCGGATATCTTCTACCGTACGGTCTGTAGAAGTGGGCGAGGACTGGAGAAGTTTAAGTTGGACCTTGTTTTACACTAATTAACTCTACTCCTTCCTTAAACATACGCTAGGTAAATATATTTTTAAAGTTCTATAAAACAAAAATTATAATTTGCGCATATCATGGATATTATTTTATATATTGAGAAATCCGTTACAATATGCACTTACAAAAATAAATGAGCAATGACCAGCTCCAATCCTCGTGCGAGAACCACCCAGCAACTCCTGGTTCCTCGCACAGTCTGTTCCGTGTGTCAGACCGAAATACGCCGGAATGTGTGTCACTTTCTGTCGTGTTCCGGTCTGCGCACCACACGAGAGTGGAGTGCGTCGTATGTTGCCCCATGCTGTAGGAGTCTGCCCCCGCAATCACATACAGTGGCGTCGCCGATCAACACCACAGTGCGACAACAGCCCATGCGGATAGTATAGCTGCAACAACCACCACCTACACGCACTCCACTCACCCCTAGGATCACGACCGAACACCCGCGACAAACGCGACTCCTACAATTCAACTGTAACGGACTCCAGAGCAAGATCGAGGAGATAGTTGCATTCATGATCATCTGCGGTCCAAGAAACCAAGTTAAACAGCCGCTCAGATCTTCTGAGTTGTGCAGGTTTCAACGTTTTACGAAAGGATCGCGAGCGAGATAATGGTGGAGGCCTAGCCTTCATATTGCAAAACACCGTGCAATACGTCTAATCGATGTTGATATCGACCACAGGTACACTACCCTTGAATGTCAGGGTATGGCTGTCCGGTCAAGCGATGTCGATCTCGAAATATTTAATATATACATCCCCCCAGTTACATGTTGCCCAACAGGATATCACCCGAACATAGATGCGCTACTTCGTGGTGAAAACCGTTTGGTGCTAGGCGACTTTAACGCGCATCACGATCTTTGGCATTCCTGCCTATCAAACGATCGTAGGGGGATGGAGCTGGCGGAACAGATTGACGATTTCACATTCTGCACAATGAATGACGAAGCCCCCACCAGAATTATGGGCATCTGTAATAGCTCGCCAGATATTACCATCGCTAACGTTGGTCTGATAAATAGTATAACCTGGCGAGCTATGCTAACTCTCACATCAGACCATCTGCCCATAATTATCTCGATCGAGAAACCTCCTGACTTTATTTCTGTGGACAACCGTACCTTTGTTAACTTTAACAAAGCTAACTGGGTCGGCTTCACAGAATTTACCGAGAACACCTTCAACGCACTCCCCTTTCCACCGGCGTCATCGTTGGCGAGCGTCAATTCCGCAAAGTGATCGCCGCTGCTACTGCTCGTTTCATACCGGCTGGAAAAATCGCGGAACTCCGCCCTAATTTCCCAGCCGAGGTGATCCCCGAATAAGGGATCTCAATTTGGAGATTCGGCAAGTGGTAAACCATCATAAGCGGACAAAATGGATAGAGCACCTGAAGTCTTGCAACCTCTCCACCGGTGTGAGTAAGCTTTGGACTACTGTCAAGGCCCTGTCAAATCCGAGGAGATATGACGATCGGGTTGAAATTCAATTTGATCGAAAGCCTTCGACACAGTCAACCACACAACGCTACTCGAGAACATCGAACAATCTACGCTCCCTTTAGGACTGAAGCGGTGGACCATGAACTACCTGAGCGGTCGGCAATCATCCGTACTATTTCGAGGTCAAAACTCCAAACTCAGAAGAATTAAACAGGGGGTTCCGCAGGGTGGTGTCCTCTTCCCTTTACTGTTTAATTTCTACATCTCGAAACTACCTCAACCGCCAGAGGGAATTTCCGTGACCTCGTACGCTGATGACCGCACGATATTGACGTCGGGCAATGGAATCGATGGCATGTGCTCAACAGTAAACAGCTATCTCTCCGATCTTTCTCGCTTCTTCTCTGCAAGGAGTCTGACAATCTCCCCCACTAAATCCACATCGACCATATTCACAAACTGGACGAAGGAGTACAGACTGGATCTAAACATTTCAGTCGATGGCACCAAAATTCCGATGGTAAACAACCCTAAAATTTTAGGCGTTACACTAGACAGTCTTTGCTCCTTCACTCCCCACACGACCGCGATAACTGCCAAAGTACAGAGCCGCAAAAAAAACCTTAAATCGCTTGCCGGCAGCTCTTGGGAAAAAGACAAAGAAACGTTGCTGGCAACATACAAGGCAATCGGCCGGCCGGTCCTATATTATACAGCCCCAATATGGTCGCCTGGATGCAGTGCCACGCAGACGAGGAAGCTTCAGACTTGTCAGAACACTGCACTCTGGACTGTCACGGGATGCCTCTTGATGTCTCCAATCGAACACCTACACAGTGAGGCCCGTATGCTTCCGGTTAAGGAACATAACGAGCTCCTCTTCAAGCAGTTTCTGCTGGGGTGTTTTCCCCGACCGACCGGACTTCGGACGCAACGAACTTCAGACAGGCACTGACCGCCATTCACAGTGGAGCCATCAACACCTTCACCGACTCCCTCTCAGTGAATGGCGTATTACGAGTCAAACCACCACCCATAGCAGATGTAGAGCTCGAGTTGCCTCGCGAAACCAGAGTGACCCTCTCGCAACTTCGTTCTGGATACTGTAGCAGGTTAAACTCCTACTTATCCAGAATAGACCCCGACATACCAAATGCATGTCCTGCGTCCAATGAATCTCCGCAAGACACTAACCACCTCTTTGCATGCTCAGCAAACCCCACTCAACACCCTTTTCCCTATGGTCCCGCCCCGTCGAAACAGCTAGTTTCCTGGGCCTCCCGTATCACCCACATGGGGACTAGGTAATCGTTACAACAACAACAAAAATAAATGACCTACTTTTACCCATAAATAATATTCTGTCATCGTTAAAGGACATACACAAAAGAATGAAGCGAAAAGCAAGATTGCCAACCTAACGCTGAACCTCTGGTCTACTTTGTTAAACACCTTAAAAACATAGTATATAATATTTGATTTTCAAATGTTGAATATTGCATATTTAATTACCTATATATTTATAGACAGCAATAATAAAATACGAAGTAAACATGTATAAAATACTATTAATAATGTACCAATTGTTTATTGAACAATTAGCAAATGCTAAGTAGCCAACACATTTCCAATATTATATACATTTTATTTCAAAAGTACTGTTAGAATGCCATTCCATGGTCGAACAATTCCGACGATTATGCAAATTTATTGGCAAAATAATTGGAAGCAAATATCAGAGGTATAGATTTCTGGAGAGGGCAAAGTGCACGCCAATAAACCTTGCGGCACAAAAATGAAAATAGATATTTTAGAATTTTTATTGAACTTTTTAAATATATTGCAAATTTATTGCAAATGTATTATACGGTTTCTCATTTCTATGCTAATTTATCCTAGGCGGGAACGTAAATGCACATATAAATTATACGCGTATATAATTTATTGTATTTTTTCAATGTACTTAATAAAGAGCGGTATCAGTAATGAATACATTTTTGTTTTTTTTGGAATTTTCTCAATGCACTTAATATATTACAGATAGTAGGAGTAATGAGCATAATATTTTCCTTACGCTTGAAAGCGCAATTGCAATGGCAACACTGGTTGGAGATAACATTACAAGAATAAACAAAAATGCCGGTACATTGACATTCAGCTGAAAATCATGTCAAGCGGCTAATGATATCAGGGTCATAATTTCCAAGTAAGTTTAAGCATATGTCCACCTAAGAGCAAGCATATTTTCGCTTTCACACCATTTTCTAAGCTGAATAAATCACACAGCATTACAAATTAGCTAACAAAACATGATTAAATGCTAATTAAAGCACCTCGCCTCGCTGGTATCTTACCCGCTATCTATAAATATCGCCCACAGCAGAATCAAAGATAAATGTCAGAATAGCGACGTTGCGCCACTTTCGCATGTGACGCTTTCGTTTCCTTTTCAATTACTTTTTCTCTCAAATTCTAGCTCTCTCCTTTTATTTTATTTTTGATTTTTTTGACTTGCCTCTCTTTCACCTCTACGTTCTTCATTGAATTTCTTGCACAAACACTAAAAATGGATAACAAAAAATGGGTGGAATTCCAATTTCACATTTTTCACAACTCAATCTAGCTTGCCGCAAGGGCGCAAGGGTGCGGCAGCAAGTGGTTATAGAAAAAAATTGCCATTTCCACATTCCTTTACCGTATCCGATGACTAATCACTTGAAGGATATTTTAATGAAATATATATTGCAACTTACACTTTAAGTAATCAACACACAACGGATATAAAGCTGATAATTGCTCAGATCGAATTAATAGGATGCACACAAGCTATTGTTGGCGTTTGTTGTTGCGGGCGGGGCGCTGGTAGTTGTTAACTAACAGCGGTCGTTACTTTTTGCCTTCTTGGATACACTAGAAATGCACACGAAAATTGAATGAAAACTGTCAATGACCGAAATTAAACCGCAGAAATTGAAAAAATAACGCGCGCACTAAGTGCTACTCAGTGTTGGACCGATCTTCACAGTGGCTAAAATTCAACTCGAACCAAATTGGCCGCAACTAGCTTATTTTAAATTGATGTTAAATACAGGCAGCGCGACCAAACACTCCGCTCACTTTACACGCACACGTGCACGCACACTCAGATCTTGACAGCTGTCAGTAAACGTAGCCGAAGTTGAAATAAAGAGCGCATAGAAACACGCAAGCAAAATAACTTATTACGAATGGGAAAAGTATTTCAATTTTATTTTTTACAGATAATTCAAACATATAAGAAAATCAAAACTAACAATTTTAGAATAATATGGTAATATTTGATCACATATACCCAATTCTAAAAGTTTGATGATAATTTTTGTGAAATACAACTCTGTAGTTATGTTTCAAGCACGGAAACATCAAGCGGTTTGTGTCATTGATAAATATGTGATTGCAGAGAACGTACGTTCTTTGTGTTGTATCAGCAGAGAACGTAAATGAATAGAGACAGAGAACGTAAATGAATAGAGAAGGAGCAAATGTTAAATGAAATCTTTTTGAGTACTAATTTGTAATTCCACATGAGGGAACATCGAAAAATATAACTTCGAAAAAGAAAAATACACCACGTAATGTGCGAAATGCTATAAATAGACACAACGAATATTCCTAAATGAAAAATCGTTGCGCATACCTATTTAGATTTATGTTTTCAATTTCTATGATATGACAAATTTATAATTATGAAAGGCCTTCTAAATTAAAAATCTGTATTATCGGTAAAAACCCCAGAATTCATAATAAAATAAACATTTAATAGGCAATTTTTCCAACCTATGTATGTGCGTTGCGTGAGTAATTGCTTATTGAGCAAAGGATAACAATAAAACAGTGGCTAAGCGGTCGCGTTTCCACTTTTGTGGTGGCTTAGGTCGTAGGCGTGAAGGAGTTAAGCTCAATCCGAATACGAGCCTATACGTTCGAATCTTAAAACACATGAAACTGAAATTTTATTTAATTTTTTATTGTATTAATTAATTGGAATCTAAGCATATCTCAATTCAATTTCTTTACTAGCATATTTTACTTCCTGATATATTTAAAATATATCAGGAAAATATGTTCATATGTTTAGGTTTATTAAATATTTCCTTATTATGCGTATTTACACAAATGTGATAATCACACAACATTCTTAAATACACGTACGCTGATGCTTGCTTCTTCTTGCCCCGTACAAGCAATGACTCTTGTCAACACTTTTTGCTTTTTGCGAGAAGCAAGTTGAACGATCGCAAGCAAGAAGGGGTCAGGGGCGCACTGCCACATAATTATTTAAGATATATTTTTATTAATCGGATTTATATTAAAAACGATTATAGGAATGAATTTATTTGTATTTATATTTTTACGTATCTATTAATTATATTACGTCAATAAGTCATAATGCATTAGTATTTTTCAATACAAATTAAGCAGCATATTAATATATTATGAGCCCTCACTTGACACGCCTCTGTGCATGGTGGCAAGCCAACGAAATAACGGCGAGTTCGCGCGGACATTGTGTTGTTGAAAAAAACCAAATGACGACTTTGTCCACAAACATACATATGTATATACATACATACATACATATATGAGCTCGCATACATATTGACACCAAATTGTGTGAATCGTCGCGGAGTTGACAAAATTTATTTGAATCGACAATTTTGCGACAATGTCGGTCGGCTATGTTCCATGAACAATATCTAATAGGCAAACCATAGTAGTGGCTAAGCGGAGGTGATTTCGCCCTATGGTGGCTCAGGTCGTAAGCGTGAAGAAGTTAAGGTCAATCCGAATACGAGCATATAAGTTCGAATCCTAAACCTCATCCAACTTCAATTTTAATTTAATTTTTTATTTTATTAATTGGAATCTTAACATATCTCAATTCAATTACATGAATAGCTTATTTTACTTTCTGAGATAATTAAAATATTTCAGGAAAATATGTTCATATGTTTAGGTTTATTAAATATTCCCTTATTTATGCGCATTTACACAAATGTGACAATCACACAACCATTCTTAAACACACGTACGCTGATGCTTGTTTCTTCTTGTCCCGCACAAACAAAGACTTCACTTTTTGCTTTATGCAAGAACAGCTAGAACGTAGCAAGTTGAACGATCGCGTACTGCCTTTCTTTTGCGTTTACGGTTGTCGTAATAGGGTTTCATCACCATTCACAACCCGATGTAAAAACGACTTCTTTTTCTTAAAATGTCAGTAGCTCACTTAATTTGAGTAAATTTTTTGTTATTAAAAATCTAATTGTCCTTTATGGATAATCACTTTCAGCATAATTTTTCCTTAAAATTAAATAAAAGACAAGTAAACTTCTCATCATAAAAAATATAAAATATATTTTATTCACTTGTAAATTTTTGTATACATACATACATATATTTTACAATGTTACACATCTTCTTCTATTAGTGGTCATTTCTTTTAATTGCATTTGTATGTTTGTCTACGCAACTACTTTTATACGAAACTAATAGCTTAAAAGCTATTCTATTATAAAGTAAACTAAAATAAAAACATAAATCAATGAACCGCATAAAATACAAGTACACCAACATTAGAAAACACCAGCAAAGCTTTACAGCACAACAACAAAACACAGAGTACAATGCAACTAGTTGTTTGCGCTTACATAAAATAAAGTTTCTTTGTTTTCGTTCTTTTTAATAATATAATTATTAAAATACATACATACAAATAACTACAAAAGCCTTAAGAACGAGTAACTTAAAGATACATTTCTATTACTTTTAGGTTTGCATTAATATTTTTTCTCATTTTCATTTAAATTATTTGGTAAATATATTATTATAAATTAATTATGCGCTGTGGCGAAGACTCGCTGTCTCGTTGTTGTTGTGCCACTGGGCAGTTGCGACGCCAACGTGGACTTGTAGTAACCGTCAAATTTGTTATTATCCTGCACTTTCAAATTTCCATTAATCTCTTTGGGCAGCTCACCGTTTGACTTGATGACACCATTTGCATAGCCATTGCTCAGCTTGCCATTGGCAGCGACTTTCCCCTTCTGCATTGCAAAAGTAATTGTAAATATTAAATTATTATATATGTACATTTGATACTTAAGTTTTCTTTCTTGTTGTCAGTCAACCACTCACCTTCTGCTCCCGCTTGAGATAGGCCTGTTTGTAGAAGTCCGAGAAGAGGAAATAGAACATGGCCGCATGTGCGCCAATAAAGTATGCAAAACCAATTGGATAATTACAATCGTTGCGGAAGAACAATTGGAATGAATGCACCATAACCAAAACGAATTGAATCATCTGTAAGACAGTCAGATATTTCTTCCACCACAAATACTTTTGTACTTTGGGTCCCATCGCCGCCAACATATAATAGGTGTACATGATAATATGCACAAATGTGTTGAGAAAACCGAAGAACGAAGAGTGACCGCCGGGTGTGAATTTCACGCCCCACCAAACGGAGCAGGGCATAATGCCGTGATGAATGACGTGCAGCGTCGACACTTGATCATAACGTTTACGCATCACAAAGAAGAAGGTGTCGAAGAATTCGGTGAATTTGGAGATGTAGTACCACCAGCATCCTCGTGCCACCTGTGTTAAGCAAAAACGTGAATACAAAATGTTAGTAATATTTTTATTAATTTTTTTCATCAATATAAATTAAAAATTTTTGTTATATTTTTTGGTTTTTAGGTAATAATGTCACTTGTCACTCATAAAATAAGCTAGCTATAGCTCAACTTTTCGGCCGAAGAGGCTTAAAAGGCTTCGAGGAATTTTGTTTTTGTTTTATAAGTTTTTTTTTTTTGTTTGATAAGTTTGCCTAGAAAGGCAAGTGTTTGATCACATTTCATTAGATTATATACTGTCTGTCGCCCTCAAATTTTAGTTTGCTTTATGCTAATAAGTTTCTGGAATTTTTTTCTTTCTGTTTACACAACATTATTCATAATGTTTGCTAAAATCATTCGATTGTCATTTCGAAAATTAATTAATGCGCATTGATTAAACTCAAGAGACATAAAATACGTGGCTTTGAATAACTTTCGTAATTTTTTTTATAATTTGTCCGTCTATGTTTTTTTTTTTGTTGCAAACTATTTGTCACCGCTATTCTTCTCAAACACACGTGCATTTTAAGTGATCAGTTTGGTAGTTCAAAGTCTTACACTCCGCATAATTTTGCAAAATTGTTGTATGTATTTCAATATATTGATCTAATGTTAAGTTATTTATCTATTTACTTTTGCAAATCGCCTTTACAGACAGCTTGTCACTAGCACGCTGACACCAAGCTTTGAAAGCATTTGAGAAAGTTAGTTAGAATTGACTTGTTGAAAAAGAGTTGGTCAGCAAGTTTTTTATGGCTGGTCGAAAATTTTATTTTAGCTGCTTCATGCTAGCGTCTAGCTGCTGTAACGGCATACATTTGTTACTAATTTACTATTTTCGTTTATTTTCGTTTGTGTTTTTATGTATAACCTCAATTTATGTATGATTTGCAAACAACATTTTGGCGCATAAAAAAATTTAACAGATTTTTTTATTTAAAATTGAAAAAGTTTTTCATTATATTTCTTTCTCATATGCTTATTTTTTTAAATGAAAAATATGGTGTTTTTTCAATATTTTTTTTTAATTTTGGGAAAATGAAAAATTCAATGTGGCATATTTTCGTTAGCTTTTTACCAAAAACTTACTCTATTTCTTATAGAGTCAGTATATTAATCTCATTTCTTTAAATTTTTAAATTAGTCAATAAAATAATTTGCTTAAAAAAATTATTATTTGTGATTTGAAGTGCTTTAATTTCAAATAGAAACAAAGCGAGGGTGCTTCGGAAATAGTTATGTGCGATATAAGAGTTCTAAAAAAGGATTTAAACCGATTGCACACATTCTTATAAAGATTTACTCAGCAGACGTTTTATAAGCAATATATATCGTTTTGATATCTGTTTGATATCCGTTGGATTTGAAAATGAGAATATATAATATAAAAAAGTGTGTGCGATTGTCGTCAAGTTTTACTAAATTTAATATTGTGTTTAACGAGAATGTATGAAGAGATTGCGCGCCAGTATGGGACTACCATAAAATTTAACCGGGACTGACACGTCATTTTAATGGCCTTATCGATATTGATTTGCAAACGATTCTGGTTTTGCGAGTCTGGCATTGACATGCTTAATACTCAAAATATTCAGCAAAATGTGTTGAGTCGCTCCATAAAATATTTTGAGATCCTCTGCTGTCTATGTAATGCCAACACGACGATTTCTAAACACTGTTTCCTTAACATTTTCAATGTTTCGACCTCGCATAAGGACGACTCAATGACTACAGGAGCGTCACTGAATGCTTTGTGCCACTCAAATATTTGTGTGCGTGCTAAAGTAGGCTCCACAAAATAATTTTCAAAACATATTCTTCGATTTCATAGCATTGATTACTTTGCGAACACAAAATTTCAAGCTAACTCGTTCTTGACTTTTTTTCATTGTGAAAATCGCCCGACCAACACAATAATTGACATATGGGGATCAGACGTCACACAAACCTAAAAAGGTTGTACAAAATGTCAAAAAAACATCGATTCGGTCTGCGCGCGCAGTTTATATGGACCAGTCCAAGCCAAAACAGATCAAATTTTATGTTCACATTTAAAAGCTAACCTCAATGTACCAAGTTTAGCCTGCATTAACAGATTATTTTGATACGTTACGCTATAGTAATAATTTCAAAGCAATGTCAGGATATAGCACCCTTGTACCAAATGCAAGAAAACAAGTCGAATGATGGTCAACTAAAATATTTTTATATACATATGTATGTAATATTGCTCTAGCGCTAACTCGATTCGTTATAGGCGTTACAAACAACCGTTATTTGAACGAAAGTATTCGGTCGCACTCTGTGCAAATTTTTTGAGAGTATAAAATTATCTAAAAATTATAGCATTGCTACTCAATTACGAAAATTTAAAAGCAATCTAAAACTTAACAACAACAACAACAATACTAATGTTTGGCTGTTTTTAGCGAAAATTATTATTTTTTTTGTACAAAATATTTAGCAAGCACCATTGCTTTTGCAAGTGGTGGGCTTTGTTTAATTTAAATTTTTATAGAGATTTAATGCAACCTCAAACTATTATTAAAATATTAAATACTAAATTCTTTGAACAGCTATTGCAACATAAGCGAATATTAACTTGCTTGCCGAAAACTATTTCCACTAAAAAGTGTAATTACTATGTGCTACAACAACATACCCTTAACGCGCGTGGTGAATTCGAATAGTCTACAGGCTCGCATCTGATATTATAGCCATTAAGCCAGCCGCCAATGCAGGACTGTGAAATAAAAATGTAAAAATCATTAAAAAAAACTCAAAAATTTTATGTTTATTTATTTATTGAATATTTACCTCGTAGAATAGCCAAGCGCTGAAAAGCACTTGCGCCAAATTGTAAACGATTAAGACTTTGCGCAACTCAAAAGGTTTTCTGTTTTCCATCAATTTGGGGCCCAGCACCTGTCGAGCGATAAAAATGTCAAAAAAATCAAACATTAAATGATATGACAAAGAAGTATAAAATTTAAAATAAAAGTTAAAATCAACATAGAAAATCAAAGACAGCAAAATAATAACAAAAACTTATGAATATGAGCATAATAAAAGCGCTTGAATTAACGCTTATTGCAAAATTATCATTAACTGCATGTGTGTATGTATGTGGTATATATATACACACATGCATACATTTCAAGCTTTAGCCATTCCTTTCAGCACAAATTGAGCGCAGAGGCTGTCGTTAAATGTGCCAAAGCATTATTGTTCAAAAATGAAAAAAATAATAATAAAAATAAACAACAACAAACATATAGGAGTAACAACAATAGTTGTAGCGGCGCATGAAAACGTAAAAATTTGGACAATCGCACCACAAAGCACACACACATATACACATACATACCATACATATGTATGTATATGTAAATTAAAGAGCAGATGACAGCAATCATTGCCCACCTTTGATTTCATGATTGCACACACACACATACTTTGGGTGTTCAGCATCACAAAAGAAATATGCAAAAGATGTTTTTTTCCACAAATCATTTGCAGCAACAACAATGACTGTTATAATGAAGTTAACATTAATGTCAGTCAACAGAGGTGGCAATCATGTGAACATTACAGTTGTTTGTAATCAAATCAAATTAGAGTTTAAAGGTAGGGTTTGGGTCGCAAACGAAGCCCAGAAAATGGCAAATGGTAAATTACAAAATAAAAAGAAAAAAATGTATGCGCAAATTAACGTTAATATATAGTTTGCACACCAAGCAATTAACAAAATCAACTTCGCGAAATTTGCACGGGTGTGAATTCGCTTTGAGGTATCGCAAGGCAATGTGATCTACAATGGGGCAGATGTGGCGAAAACTGTTACAAGATTTTTTCTTGCATATCTTTTTAATAAGATGGAGTGTGGCGTATATGTAAATATTAATATGTATTAAGGTGGAGCGAAAAAAAAATTTTTTTTTGGCTTAGCCTGAGGGTAAAATTTGTAGATTACAAAAAAATAAAATTGTTAGAAAAAAAAATTTTTTTGAGTACATGTTAACTCACTTTTAAAGTAAGTTTCGAGTAAAAATTTTCTGGTCGTAAAATTTTTTTGATAAGTGTTCTAGAAGCTGTGTAGAGTCTCCTTTTTGGCCAATCAAAAATTATCAACTCAAAAAAAAATTTTGTGGTCATTATGGAGTTTTAAGTTAAAAGTTAAGAGTCCTAAACGACAAAATGCTTTCCTTAAGCGTTAAAATAAGTTTAAACCAAAATTTTGTTTTTAAATTTTTTGTTAAAAACTCAAAAAAATTCTTTTGTTTTCATTTTTATTTAAATTCAAAAAAATTTCAAGTCATAAAATTAATTGACCCACATTTATACATTCTCTACACACTGTGCACTTCATTTTATAACGAATTGCACACACATATAACTCTTCGGAAGCACACAACAGAGCTGTTGACAGTTGACATGCAGTTGGGTGTGTTGTTTGGTCAATAAATTAGTTGCATGCGCATTTCTCCATCAAAGTCAATGTTGAATTAAACTGTTGAAATATGCGTTGATTAATTTAATTCAACAAATTTGCTTAATTTGATAGCATCGCCTGGTTGATTGACATTTGTTTATCAGTATTAGGATATCTTCTCAAAGAAACGCCTCAAAGAGAGAGGTGAACTTTATTAAATTACAAGTAAAAGCATAGATAGAGATTATATAAAAGGTGATTTTTAAAGGAATTATTGAAGTCTGCGTAAATATTTTAGAGAAAATTAAGCAAATTGACACTCATTTGCCAGAATGACTGGTTTCCATATAATTTTGGACAGTTGCAGAGTGTCAAAACAGTATTGAGAATGTCAAAGAAAGGTTGTTACTGAGCTTCGTGTATATATTTTTATTAAATTAAGGAAGTATAGCATCTTCTTTGGCTGCCCAAATTCAAATAAATTCAAAATATTTCCTGTTAATAACTCAAAGTATACATTTTTTTTGCTATTTTCAAGTGCATATTAATCGAGGTAAGCGAATTCAACCTATTAATTGTACCTAAATCATCTGTGAAAACCTAACTTATTAGAATTCGAATTGCGAGTTTGTTTCCGTAGTCTTTTGTAGCACTGCAACTACCGAATTAATAAATATCAAATAAAAAATTAAATCATAAGCATATCTGCATATTATAAATAGCATTCTTCGCGCTATTATTCCTAAAATTTGCACCAAGCGCGCAAAAATTGCATTATCGTTAAGCAAACCAATCGATTTTAATGACTTCCTCAACAAGTTCGTCGCTTCAGTCTTTTGTATCGATCAGAAAAGCAGAGAAGCAGGAAGTACGCGAATGCCCAGCTTTCCGCTTTAAAATCTTTATAATCGAAACTATCAATACAGCGACCTTTCGTACAATTTTATGCAGAAGTCGCATATTTTAATAACACACACATAACCAAAAACACAATATATATGCATGTGTGTATGGCTTAATTAATACAGAGCTAAGTGAGATTCCGAGTGCATTCAATGACCCTGAACTCTTTTAAATCTATTAAAATCGAAACTTGCAGCCAAAAACCCAAAAATATATATATTATTAATAATAATAACAAAAACAAAAGCTATGCGCATGCTTTTTCGTCTGATATGCCATCGCTTCGAGGGTGCAGGGATAATTAGCACAGTTGATTATTTTTTGATAAAAACGAGCAAACAAACTATGAGGGGAAAATACGTTGTTGGTCCAGTTCGTTGCGGTTACTTTGCTAGTTAAGCTATAATCAGTTTTTTTTATGGCTTGTGGCTTACAGATACACGCAAGCGCATTTAGATTGCTGGGAATGTATGTAAGTGAGCAGGTTGGGTTAATTCAGTGATTTATCATGTGATATACTTGTAGTAAAAATATTGGAGTATAATCTACAAAAAAAATTAATATATGTTAAAAAAAAAACTAAAAAAGTTCATTAAAAAAAATTTTATACAATGAATATTTTTGAAAATTTGCAATTTTTAATGTTAATATTAGATATGGTTTTTTATGTAAATTTACTATTACTAATTGCTAGAAAATTTATGTTATATCATTTTATAATTATTATTAACAGTGCAAATTATTATTTGTTTTTTATAAATAATTTATTTATTAATATTTTAAGACGTTTGTAAAAAATGTAGTGCAATAATTGTTTGAAATTTAAATTTATGAGAATTTAGTATTAAATATAAATGTAAAATTAATATTATTCAATAAAATTGTATATTATATAATTGTATATTCATAATAAATTTGTATATTTTGAATTTAAATTTTTAACTTTTATAAAAAAGACCACAATAGCTCTAAACATTTCATTCGAAAGATAATTTGAAAACAAATAATTAAGTAAATTTACTGAAAAATCTTAAACTATGGGCTCAAAGACCATTTTTTTAATCTATAGACAAATTTTTTTGCAAACCTAAGTAATTTACACAAAAAAGCTCACATAAGCGCATATTTTGAAAAAAAAAAATTCTACACCAACAACATAAGGACGTTGCAACTGCATCTAGCCTGCGAGTCTAATTGGTAGATAGCCTACAACATAAGACTGGTTTTGACTGGACATAATAATGTTGTCTTCTTTATGGCTAATATTAGAATTGCACGATTTCAGCGTCTATTATTTCGTATTTCATTCTCTTTCGCTGCTTTGCTGTACCTATATATTTATATGCATGCACATCCAAGCATGCTAAGCAAATTGTATGCTTTTCATTTCACTCCAATATGGACCTGGCAGCCACACATGAAGTGTTCTTCACTTTTGGATAGAACAAGTTAGTGCCTGCTTTCAGCTTACAACTAGTTTTAGTAAATGTTTCGTGTTTCTGATTTTCACTTTGTCCTTTCTGTGCGTGCACTCACCTTCACGAAGTATGCGTAGGACAAACTGATTGCAATGGTGGGGAAGGGCGAATTCATCAATGGCCAATCTCGTGTGCGCGGATCAGATTTGTTGTCCATGAGATCACGCCAGCCAGCGTAAATTGTGTTGATGTAGTAGTCCTGGAAGAAAAAAGGGAAAATTGTTATAAATACTGACTTTAATTATATATTTTTATTTATTGTACACACAAAGTCATATAAATGCTGATACAGAAGTTTTAATATATTTGATACCGAAATTCGGGTTTTGAAAATCAATATGCACATATTTCCGGGATTAGATATCGGGATTCGCATATTTTTATTGGTTTTATTTTCACTTTCATAATGTACATAAGGTTACATATATTTACAGATTCTGGAATAATTTGGTACCAGTTTCGTGGTCTCGAAAACCTATATACAGGTACTTAAGGTTCTGCATTTCAGAATTCATATTTTATCATTATATATTTTTCTCCGATAAATAATTTATAATTCTTTAATGAAAAAGAAGTTTTTATAAATATTACTAAAGTAACTCCGATCTGTTTTTAGAAACTTCACTGGGAAATTTCTTTGCCACCATAGATTTGTTTTATATTTAAATAATTATACATATAATATTCTTTTTTCTAATTCGGAACATTATAAACCAAATTTATTATAATATTTATTAATAAAAAAATTATGAAATATTCAGAACGAGCATTTTTTAAAA